ACCGTTTAGGACAAATAATACCGCAGGCTTTTGTAGGTGGGCTATCGAACGACAACACCTGTTTTCTTCAACTCTGTCATGATCATACCAGGACACAGCACCGTGCTTATGGCCCAAAGATTCGCTAAGGATATATCTTGTGATTGCGCCAAAATGATGAAGGAGTGTATTTTTCGTTTAAAAGAATCAATAGTTAATAAGAAAATGCAAATGCTAAACCGCAGACCGTGCCAGTCTGCAAAACATACGTTCCAAACGAAAGTAAGAGGAAACCAGGTAATAAACCAGGTATATTAATATCTCAATATTAAAGTTGCTCTTTAATATTCATTCGCTTCGGGTATCCTATCATTCTTTTGCCATTTAATTTTGTTATCAACTGTGCCATTAGGTTTTTTTAGCTTCTCTATACTTTGTATGGTGACTCGCTGAAACCGGATATTAAGTTTACCAAATAGTCGGCCGTCTTTCGTTTTCTGCCAATGAATGCCGTTAAGAAACACTGTTCATGAAAACGTTTACCAATTTTAAGGCATGATTCATTTAGTAATGCATTTAATTAACAGGGAGGCTTAAAAAGACCGTATAATGCATGTGGCCTGAGGGACAGTCTCGAAACATGCAAACCGTTTGTGCTTTAAACGATAAAAAGGACAACAGGTAAAGATATTAAAACTTTAACACAATAGACTGAGTGATTTTGAAAATCAGGGTTTGAAAGCGATTAGAATCTTTTGACAGGAAAGAAAAAGCTGGGGACGTTCAGCGTTAATGACAAGCTGTTTCATCAGCGTAATTAAAAGCACATATACAATACTGTAGCTGCCATATAGTGCAGTCAGATCTATGATCGAACCGATGAAAGGATCCAAGGTGAGTGGCACAGACGGGAGACGGGAGAGATTATATTCGTATCGATGCGTGAGAAATAGAAATAATTTTCCTGCCCGTGGAGCCCAAGATGAAACGTTGGCGTCATACAGTCTGTTCGATCACACTCGTCTGAATACTAGATTGGAGAAGTTAAACGACAACTTGTATTGTACAGCATAAAAAACGAAAATGACCCCTTTGACTCACTGAGGAAGATAGAAAATACGAAAGCATGTGTGAAAACAACGAGTTGCAACACAGGGAAATGATCTGGCTGAATGGTGGAGCTGAAATATACCAAAATGTCATAGACAAAAATGAAGGTGAATAAATGTCACCGCCGATGCTAACTTGTTTTGTCAAAATGTCATAGTCCATTCCAATCATTTTTCTTACCACATACTTTGTAAAAATTTTAGATATCTTTAGTTTTTGGATACCGGGAGGTTATCAGTGATCATCGATTATACTTCGTTTCCGAAGTTCCTGGAACTGATACAAAATCTTCAAGTGCGCATGCTATCGGCATCAACGACAGTATTTCTCTCTGGCCCGCAAAACATTTGATAAGTAATACAGTAACAGCCCTTGAAAAGAGAGCACCTCAGATGCCATGAAAGCTTTCGGGAAATTTTGATGATTAAAAGCTGCAATTCCAAGAAAATCCGCTGCCAATAAATCTGGGTGTCAAGATTACTTCAGTTGAATTCTTGATATAGCGAAACGTTCAGAGACTGACCAAAGGTCACTGAAGACTAAGAAAACATGAAACATATAACTGAAGTAACATAAGTGTAACGCATTGTGAAGGACCGTTTCCGGTAGAACGTCGGTGAGAACAAACAATGCTTGTAGGTTGTTGCTGGTGATAAGGACAGTTCAGTACAACTGCCATGCAGATGAGGCAAGCAACGTAAGAAGTGAGTAAAATACCTGCAAATCGGCCATGTAGTGGAACGGGCTCCACAGCTGGTGAGTCTTGGTGTGCATCGGGATGCTGCTGATGGCGTTATTCGCGAGGTTCAGGCGCAGTAAGTGAGGTAAGTCCCAAAATGCTTCCGGTGGGAACGCGGTCAGTCGACAGTTCTTAAGACTCAGCTGTCTGAGGTCAGCGATTTTTCGTCCGGGCAGGAACTGCAGCTTCGTCAACTGCGACAGGTCATTGCCGTCCAGCCGCAGAACCATCGTTCCTTCGGCGATGGTGTTCGGTAGCTGGTCGTAGCCGCTGTTCGAGCAGTCGGTGGTCAGCCGGCCTTCGACGTGCACGCAACTGCACCTCGGGGGGCAAGTGATGTCCTTCGACTCGATGCAGGAGATGACCATCGCAAACAGCGTAAGAGCGGTTCCGGCGGCAGGGACGACCACCCCGCGTCGACACATGATCATGCTGCTGCTGCTGCTGCTGTGACGGTCATCAATCACCGACCGACTTCACCGCCACCATCAGTGGTTGTCATATTCCTGACGATGGTGGTATCATCGAATTTGGCGCAGTTCGATTCAGAGAGGGGACACGACGAACAACAACAGATTGTGGCCGTAGTTGCTTGGAAGACGGTAAGGGAGCGCGGAGGGAACCATCGATCGATGGAGGACGCGTGAAGTTCAACGATCACAACAACCTCAGGCAAAGACTGAGGTTGCAAAGTGGCGGAAGACCTCGACCAGTTGGAGGTGATGACATGCGCAACGAACGAATCCTTCGGACGACGACGACCACCGCTTTGGCCTGGTGTAGCTAAAACAACTCTTTCATTCATTAAACAACTAATAATCACTGTTCGGTTTATCGTCGTCGCTGCGTGCGCGTACGGCACTCCTCACCACCCTGTACGTTAAGTGTCTCTGTCTGTCGGTGTGTCACCGCAGTGACCGCTTGCTCGCTTGCTCGTTGGCATCGCGTCCGCCAATCGATCCATCGATCGAGCTACAGACCGATCGATCGATCGAGGGCGACAAGGAACGGAGGAAACAGGCGATTCCGAGGTCGCCGAAGCGAGTCTAGGACAAGAACGTCGTCGACAGACAATCGACGGACCGGACAGTCATCCAGTTTATACTTGTCATTGCCGTTGTCGAATCACCGACACCAATATCGCCTGTGCTCCTGTATAGGACCTGGCATGAAAAACTGTTAATCGGCACAATCATTTACGAGACTTTCGTACGTTGTGTGGCTATTGGGTCTTCCGGTGGCGGTAACCGGTTCTTTCATGCCCTGATGTTCAAATATGTATGTCGCCGCGCCGCCGGCGCCGATAGGCGCAAGCCTTTCGCACAAACGGGTTCGTCTCCACGTGTTTCCTCCCACTCGGCATACAAATACGTCCTGCCACCGCGTACCTTCATAATCATGTTTTTGTTGACACCTCAGCCGCCTAGCATTTCCATATCGCTCTCACACTCTGACTCAATGGATCGGTCAGTGTTCGATTATTCGTTCTTTAGGAGAGTACCCTTTGGCCACACCTCCCATAGGGCAGCACGGCAGCTGAAACGGGGCGTCCCAGACAAGTTCCATGCTATCCAGGGGAAAACCTCCAAATCGAGCAAGAGATGGCAAATACGAATTTCTTCAACATATGTCCAAGATGATGAAGGTTTTCTTCCTGATATTCGCCAGCTCAGATGGACCATCTTGACCGGCTGGTATTCGGCGGACAATCGAATGAAGTTCTACCACCCGCTGGTAGGACTGACGGTGGCCTTTCGAATTTATCACAGGTGGGTATCAAAATTCCCTCTGGTGCTTTTATCGAAGTTATCCGTGTAACCATTGACGAACCGACGTCCAACCCCAAGGCGGAGATGACATTGGCGCCTTTTTTCTTCAAAGGGGCAGGTCGCCTCTGCCTCGTCATGAATCCCTCATTAGGCATTGTAACTTTTTTCTGAGGAACGAACTTCTCGGACTCGAACCCAAGTCAAGGTGGACTCACCGCCTCACCTCTACCTGTCTGCCACTACGTATTTGTCGCATCTACCTCCGTATCTGCAGGTCAGCCTCCTGCCCGTAATCCGAAGACGCGTCGGATTGCCATCAGCTTGATGCACTGAGGCAATCGCCGAGGTAAAGTAATTAAAATGCTAGTTTCGCGGCAATCTTGCAAAGTGATGGCCGTGGCTGCGGTTTGGTCGCTTTCTCCTCGTAACAGCCGCTGTCTGTGACTTGAATGTCGCAGTTAAGGCGTTCCACTGCCGTCAACCATCATTTCATCGAACGTCGAACATCCACTTCTTTCTGAACCAATCGATTTCGACGCGCCGTATTAAAATCTGTATATGTGCACTTTCCGAAGTTCGTTTGATTAATCACTTTAGCGGTTTCATGTGTTTTTCGACGCATGATCCGCGGTACAAAAGAAACTGAGGTAAACCCTCACTGATACCGGTACCGTCGCGTGAACCTTGGCATTCATCAGTGACCATAATAAAAGACGCCGACAGTTTCGTTTAATTCCGACAGTTTCAATGATCGCATCCGATCGGCAACTTTAAACAGCGGCTGAACGTGTCTTGTGAGTATTCGATCGAAAGGTCAGAGGTTTGACCTTTCTGAGCTATAAAACGCAGGTTTCAGACTATCTGCCTTATTTGCTTAACTTATATCTATTCAGTGTTTAGTTAAGGGAAATCTTTATCGTGTTTACCTTGGCGTTTACCTTTTGGTAAACAGATCAAGGACATTGAGTATGCAAACATGTATAATCGAGAAGCCTGACAGGGAACAAACCAGATCAACAGACGATGCGTTACTATTGTCACGGTCGACACCATTATCAGAGGTCTCTAACGTTACATAATTACAGTATGCGGAAAAATTGAAATAATTCTCAAATCTTTGCTCCTCTTTCCATAAGGACACCAATTACTTGACGGTTTCACTTAACTACAAAGTCTTGACTCACTTTCGAATGAAATCCGTGCTGCAATTCTCAGATTCATTATCCTCTGCAAATTATAAGACTCCTGCGGCATGGCAAGTTCGGCATTCTGAACCTCATGAACATGGAATTTGTCAAATCACCTATCTTCCATCTTCCATGGCCGCTACTCCTTTCGAGTCGCGTAGGCAGATGCGTGAGACAGTGCTTCCAATGTTCCCGATCCTGTGCCAGAGTCTGAGCTTCGGCAGAAGACAAATGGAGTCTCGAACAGACTCCGTCCATATGTTTGTACGTGGTTAATCAATCAGCTTTGCGCATACACGATACCGTAACTGATGAGGATTATCCGAGGCGTGGTTATTGCTAGTTGAAAACTAAACTAAATCTCCTATTGAACTGTAAATGGTGGCCACCGAGGAAACAGTCAGTGAGTCAATTTTAATCACTTCAGATGCAATGGTTTAAACAGTGATGGCAAATCATCTAAAAGTAATAGCAGAAAAAACTCTCTAGCAATTTGTCGTGTTGGTCGCTGTAGATGAGTCGTATTCTGGCCCAACCGTGACTAAAGGATGATGCTACCAGACGGAGCTATTCCTGACAGAGGACCGAACTCCAAATCAGACGACGCTACACGACATCTGTAAAGGAACTGAGTATCACTAACATCGTTACAATCATAAAAAAGTCACTCTAAGAAACACATTATCTAAGCTTTCTGTCCGCAAGAGGCCGAAGACGGATTTTTTTCTAAAATTGGTAAAAAAATATTTTCAACCGCTGAATGCCACCGCATCGTCAATCGATTATTTCAGAGTTCATGAAAAGTCTTGACGGCTATGGGTCATATCTTCCATCGTACATAATCACTTTCTGTGGTAATGCCTATTTTCTACGACGACGACAACGAGACTGGTTTTATGATGAGTGCTTGACAGTTATTCAATATTAAACTACCATTATTTTCAACTTCTGCCATTTCAGACGTTACGCGTCTATCAGTCAAGAATGAACGCCAATCGGATTAAATCCAATTTAAGCAACTGTTTGGTACGTCAAATTTATACAACGTGGTACCTAGGATGATCAAACCTTTTGCCCCCCCCATCTCAGAGAGACACAAGGATCAAAATATGGCTTCGCGGGATATGACAGAGTGTCGTGGATTGCATGATGGTGCCTCTACACCATTACGATAACGTAATTCTTCGAATAGTTGACTTACGACCGTCCAGTGGCTAAAATTGGCAAAGCCGTTGTACCCTTCCATGCGCTTCTGCGTGGGAGACGGACCATCGATTTCAGACCCGGAATGTAGGTTGTGATCATCGCCCATTATAAATGAAAATGAAAGTGCAACGTAAACTTTGTTTTCGTGTCATCTACCCATCAATTTGTTCTTCTATGAACCATTATAACTGCAATTTCATAAACCGCTCCGTTCACAATATTTTTTTAACTCTTCTCTTGTTCTTGCGTTACTTTGCCACAGTGGTACTTGTAAACAAGAGGCTGAATCGTTCAATCTTTTCTGAGGGTAACCGACCGCGTTTTTGCTCTTTCTCTT